CCAATTATGGCAGCCCATACTATAACCACAATGGAAACCAACTAGTTAGCAGTCCAGGCAAAAATCAACACATTCATTTTTACTTACCACCTACTGTGGGCCAGGTGGCAGCTTCCCATGATGCTACAGGACCAAAAAAGCAATGTCCTTGCCTGACATCTCATTTCTGCCTTCTGATGTGTCCCAACTCCCAGAAGCATATGTTTCTACTAAAGTAGAGGTACAGAAACAAGCACATTTTTGGACACAGGTTGTTTTATCTCCTTTATTAGCAAAAGAAATTCTGTATGGTAATATAGCCGCCAAAGAACTCTAAAGATACATCGCTCTTTGAGACTGGTGACAGGGGAACAGCTGGCCACTCTTGATATGATTTCAGTCACCTTGAAGACTGGTCAGACAATTATTCAAAAGAACATACAAGTTATACAGACTTCTTCCCGGTTTTGCATTCTTAAGTGGGACTTCATCCACAGAGATCACTGCAATCTCAATAGAGGACAGACATTTCCTCCACAAAGACAAAATTCCATTCATGCCAAAGTTTTCCATTTGTTGTTTCATATGTCTGTCCTGAACCCAAAGACAAACGAGCTGAATATTTTTCAGCATGAGGATTGTTTTTAAAAGTCAGTATTTATGTAGGACCCATATAATCAGTACTCAGTTTGGGAAAGACATTTATGTGGTGTTCATGTGTCAGTATTAGATCAGTTTTATTTAACAACTTCAGCAATTAGCCAGAAATTGTTGTGAACAACATAGATTATAATAAACTGGAAAGTTCTGCAAACATTAAAGGTAACATTAAGGGGCATTGAGAAATATGAGCAACAGATAAAATGAAGGCTGATTTAGGAAAATACAATCTACTAGATCTGCAGGAAATAATTTGAAACAAAGATTATGAGTGAGAAAGGAATTTGCAAAGGAATAAAGAAGGAACTACTTGGCAGCAAAACAGTTACGAGTTTACAATGAGATGTCTCAACAAAAGGGCCAATTAATTTTGGGCTATTTATGCACAGCAACAAGCCACAGAGGAAAAAAATAGCTCCTTTCTGTATGCTCTGGTCAACCCACTCCTGAAACACTGTATTCACACCTCAGTGCCCAAAAGCTTAGGACAACTTATGAGAGTTCAAAGGAGGGCAACAAAAATTATAAGGAATCTGGAGAGACAGATTTACTGCATGAGGAAAAATTAAAATAGCTTGTTACTCAGTACGTGTAGTTTGGTGCAATGATGACTAAGTGGGCATACAATAATCTTCAGACATTTGAAGGGTATAAATGCAGAAGGAGAGAAGTTACTGTATTACAAGAGGACATACAGAGTAACTAGAAGGACTGGAAGGAAATTAAAAAAGGGGAAATCTAGGCTAATAAGGGGAGAAAGATGCATCATTTGGGAAATGTGAAATTGGATAAGACAAAGAGCTAGAAAATTAAATCAAGGGAACAATCACAAATTGTCAAGGATGTGAATAAGATGACAATGTTCTAGGCCTTTTTCTAGGCTAACATTTATGATTGTTTTGCTAGTGATCAATGAAATCAGAGGAAGGACTTTGGAAGGTAAAAGAAAGACCTGGTAGAGTCTTTAAAATTCCACAGAAGGGTGGCCTTTAAGCAACTTATGTTATTTAATGACATATATAGCAGTAAGATAATGAACATGTTATCCCATTTGATAGAATATCTAACTCAACTGAGAGATTTTGCTGACTTCATAACCTATAAAGAATTCAACTTGAGTGAGTTAGGAAAAGCAGCAATATTTTTTTTTAAAGTGTGCGCGCACATGTGCATGAACAACTGAATGTGGGACTTTATAGTATAATTCTGTTTCAACAAAAAGAAAAATTACATCATTTTTCTAAAATCTGAGGGACTTTGGCATTTCTGAAACAGAAAAGTAAATAAACACAGCACAGGATGAACAGTTGAATAAACATTAGATAAACAAAGATAAATGATATGACAGGGAGAATTTAGTTGAACTTATCCAAGACCTTTTGCACAATTCCCATATTATATGCCTACCTCAAGAGTCTGCAGCCCACGGCATGCATGCCATCAGTGGCCCACGAGCTGATTTTCATTGGTGCATGGGCAGGAGCTTAGTCCCACCCTCCGCCTGCCCCGCACTAGGGAGCCTACACTGGGTCTTGAGTCTCACAGCTGGCCAGGGCAGACAGGGAGTTCATTGGTGGAGGGGAGAGTGGGGCGTTGTCAAGCAGCTGCTAAATGGAGCTGCTCCATGCTTGAAATGAGCAGCAAGAAAAGGAGGTGTTAATGGCTTAGATTTACAAATACCTAAAGAGACAGATATGTGCCTAATGGGAATTGCATTTATTTTCATTTGACTTTCAATGGGAGTTAGACATCTGAGATTATCTGGAGTGCAAAGTACGTTAGGCATGTATCTGCTTCTTCACCCAAATACGTCTGTATAGCTGGGCCTAGATCTAAAAAAGAAAGTTAACGGTTCTGATGAGAACTGTCAACAAAAGCATAATTCATGATTTTTCCCTGTGTTGCCAGAACTGGCTGAAATATGATGCCTATTACACAGAGGGGAAAAACAAAGTATTAACTTATGAATTCGTTTTCATTTCAAAGTATGCCAAATGGACCCTTTTTTAAAATTATTTTTTCCCTTTTTCAAAAAGTCCTAACATCTTTTCTATTTTCCCCCACCCTGCAAAGAAGTTAGTGAAATTTTTCCTTTACAACAAGCCCCTCCAAAAATTGGCACTATATAGTTATTAAAGATTTGAGGTCTGTGTTAGTGAAAAGGCATCACATTTTTTACACAAGAGGAATCATTTTGACAATGTCAACAGTTTGGGATGAGACAGTTTTGCTGTAGAAGAGAGTCCTTTCCTGCCCCCTAAAAGAAAAAAAAAAAACTTTAAAAATGTCAACCAGCTCAGTGTTACACTCAGACACTCGAGTGTATCTCCAGCTCCCCATAGTGCTACCAGGAGGTGTGTGTGCTCCACATCATACAGCAGCGAGTTTTTAACTGCAGTGCAGACCAACCCTCACTAGCTCAGCTAAAGCTATGTCTCCTTGGGATGTAACTTACACCTCCAGCTGTAGCACAGATGTATCTTGGAGACTAAGCTGAGCTCACTAAAGAAGTCTGTGAGGGAGCCAATAATTAAGCCTGTGTATCCAAAAGTAAAAAAGAAAAAGATTCTTTTAACAGAATATTTTTTCAGTGTTGCAGATATCTAAAACTCTGGTCTTAATGATTTTTTTTATTCCTGTGTTACTAAAACAGCAAGATCTGCATCTTTATTTATTTATTAATGAAGCTGCTGTAAGTAGGACTATTATTGACTTTTAAAAGTATCAATGGCATGCAGAAGTAAATAGAAGTGAATAAGTTAAATCTCGGCACACCACTTCTGAAAGGTTGCTGAGCCTGATCTACCTAGTAAACTTACACAGCATGGATTTTGTTCCTGTGGTGCCACCTTACTTTATTGTTCTGTTTTCACTGACAACTGAGCCAGAAGGTAATTGGAGAAGAGCAGGGGAGCAAAACATAGGCTGCACACATCCAGTAGTGAGGAAAAGGACTTCTTCTAATAAACTCTTATAAACTCCTCACCATATGCTATTTATCTTCCCCAAAAATGAGGAGGATGGTAGGTAGAAAGAGAAAAACTTCACTGATAAATCAAAATGAGTAGAGACTCTACTAATTAAAAGTTTACGTCTGCAGGTTTAGCAGCTGTTTATTTAAGAATGTCTTTTCTAATATTTATCTGGGCTCCGAATAAGACAATGTAGTAACTGTGATTAAAACTGCAACATCTGCCATCACCAGCCAGTGGATGTCACTACAGTCTCAGATAATATTGTTAACTTTGGGCAAAGTTGACTGTCAAGGGCAACCGCAATACCTCCGAAGTTGAATTGCAAACATTTTTGTTATTACTTATCATGTTGACCTTCAGATGTGCTATGTTGCCATTAAAACCCCCTTCTACCCTCTCCCCAAAAAAAACCCTTAGTAATTTCATATAACATTTTCAAATGCACCTAAATGTCTTTGGAGCCTAAGTTCTATTTTCAAAATTCACTTAAGAGACTGACTGACTTTTAAAACTGTATCCTTCAACTAGCTGCATAAATGCATCAATCATCAATATTTTTAAAAGAGCAATGCTATATGCAATAATATAATACAAACAGCAAGAAAAAAACTTATTAAAGAAACTGTTGGAACACAGGATACTGGGTTAAGTGGACCATTGGTCTGATGCGGTGTGGGTGTCCTTATGTTTGTTTTTATGTTGCTTTTCTTCCTGCCAGCTGACATAGGACTACAACGGGCAGGAAACATTTTAAATCATATTTAGAATTATTGATAAATTTCTCTCATCCCTACATAGGGCCTGCTACTGCCATCCATCGTCACTCAGAACCCCGTCCGATTTCAGTGGGCATTTCAAAGTAGCTTTAATGGTGGCCAGAACAGACTCATGCATTCTACTGCTCTATTTCCCTGACAGGAAGCTGAGTCAACTCAGCAGACCAGTTTTCCTGCCAGGAGACAGCAGTAAGCCTCCATGCTCACTCAGACTGAGAAAGTGAAACAGAAACAGGTATTTCTGAAAAATATTTGATAATTCATTTCTATTCTCGCACATTCTCTACTACCTTGCAACAGCAAATGGCAGACAGTCTCCACTCAGTTACACAGTCAAGTTTATTTAGCTATGGGGAACGCTCATGTTACTTACTGGACAAAGTATATGTAATAATACGTACACACAATATATAATATTATGAGTTACATAAAAAAGAGCAACCAATAGGCTTTTTTTTAAATGCTGAGGTGTCAGTACCATAACAATTCCTAACAGCTCTCCCTGGCTCTTCCTCTTTTATTATGTTGCATAACCCTTCTCAAAAGCTCAGATCCATGCCTGCCCACCAGCATACTGGGCGGAAGGGTCTAACCACATTGCAACACTTACCATCACCAAAGAGATGAGTCACAAGTTTTGTGAGCACTTGTTTTAGGTTGAATTCTACCAGTCGCACTGCTTCCATGGTGTGCATCTCCTGCTTGTGTGCTGTGCGGTGCCCTTGCTCAAATAACTGGAAACTTTCTCCATCTCTGATGTTGCTGAATAACTAAACCAACAAAACAAAGCAAAGCGCAGTGACCTTTTTTAATAAAATGAAGTTTTATTGATTCTACTAGCGAGTTCAGCTGCTTAGCATTCATCATGAAATAGAAATTTAAAGACCATGGCTTTTCATGGCTGTAAGTGTGGACAAGTTTTTTTCCAGAATAATCTTTATTATGGATTATGATGCCAAACAAGCAGTACTCTGCAAATCCACAGATATATGTGGGTAGCCGCATCTACAGCTCACTTTGCGGATATGGATGCAGATACAAATTTTGTATCTAGAACCCTGCAGATGTATGGATATTTGCTTTATAGCCACAAGAATCCAAATCCGTGGTTGTGGAGATCTGCGACTCATCTTTGTGGATACAGATGCCAATGCAAATACAAAATTTTGTATCTACACAAGGCTCTAACAACAAATACACAAGAAAAATCCCAGTTTGACTCTCAGGACCCAGGTTGAGTTTGTAAGGATGGTAGTTAGAAAATCATCTTTTTGTTTATTGGCAGAGCATATTTGTTGTGGTAAACAAGAGGCAATAAATACTGCATCTTAAAAATCACTTTCCAAAGCACAGCCAAACACTTCAAAGTTGTAGCCAAAATAAGGAATAATTTAAAAGACGAGGTAGCTTGTAATTGAAAGATATATGATATTTGAAAGCTCACAGTGTTTTTTATTTTTATTTACAATTTGGTGCAAGTTCCAGTCTTTAAATAGCAAGATGAACTGTCAAATATTCCATCAGCTGAGATTTACTACTTAATAATGTACACTATGATCATTTATAGTTATTAATTACAGTAATCTATTTGTAGGAAAAAGATTCATAAACCTATTTATTTATGGTAAACTGTATCAATCTGTTTTGGATGAGAGCTTCACAAATCAATATTTTAAATCATTTTGTTGCTTCAAAAGTTATCATAAGTAAGAGTATCCAATGCAGAGAACACAATATAGCGCATCTGAGTTGTATTACAACTTCAATATATAATAAAATTTATTACAGCTTGAAAAAGTTTTCCATGCTGAAACGTCCAATAAAAATCTATGAAAAAGTTGTAAACATGAAAGTCTATACACATGAGCTATCTTTGGAAACCCAAAAATAATTTCCAGGATTTCAAACTTTCCGTGATTGACCCATCCCTAATAAGAACACTTTGATTCTCTCCAAAGAGTAGGGATGTCAACATATAGATGACTACATGATTAACCAATACATCTAGGCTTATCAATTAATCCTGTCAACTATATGCATTCCCCCTCCCCCTTGCTGCCTCTATATGAGTGGCAGCAAAAGGGGTGGGGTGGGGGAGGCGCTGAGGAGCATGAGGAGTTGGCTTTTAAGATGGCTCTCTGTGCACGCTGGCTCCATGGAGCAGCCTGCTCCCTGCCGCCCTCCTTCCTACCCCCCGCATGCTGCTGACTTCCTCTCCCCTCCTCCCCGCGCATGCTGCTGACTCTATGGAGGTGGGAGGACAGGGGAGGCTGCCATGGTGCTTGGGCTCGCCACGGACAGAGGCTGCTCCAACATCCCATAGAGCAGCCTCCATGCACAGTAACCCTGGGCCCACCGCAGACAGGGGCTACTGCAGCAGTCCCTGTCCATGGGACGGGTCTGAGCTCCCTGGGGCTGGCAGTCAGTGCGCTCCCAATTCCCAGGGAGACCCTGACACCCACCTTGCTGCATCTCTATTAGAGGCAGCAGCACAGGGCAGCAGGCAGGAGTCAGTCTACATGGGAGGTGGTTTTTAAACCAGCTCCTCTCGAGGACCAGCTTCTGCCTGGTAGGGAGGGGACTGACTGTCGGCCTTGCCCTTGGGCACTATTGAATAGTCGTGTAACCACTAAAATTTGATGTGGTTACACAACTATTCAATTACATGCTATCTAACATCCCTACCAAAGAGACCTGCAGGTCATACTAGAATTTAAGCCACATTTAGAATGGCCACAATAGACTGTGCCTGCCCATAATATTGCAGCTGTCATTCAAATGGATTATTAGCTAAAAATCAACAGACCTGTCATGTGTGTCACACAGTGGCTGAATCCAACAGTCTCTTCTAAAGCAAGCAGGTAGGATGGGGGAGGGGGTGAGTGCCTATGAGAGACTCCCCTCCACAAAGTAACTTGTACCCAATGGGAAAGTGCACTCAGCTGAAAGTGAGTTCAAATTTCACTTCTACTTTTTGTTGCTTATATTTATATACTGAACTATTCTTCAGCAAGGTTTGTACACATTATAAGAGGCAGTCAAATTGCTTTCCCTGTTATACATTTTCTGCAAGGCAGCACAAAGTCATTTCTCTAAAAGGGAAGACCCAAGGCTCCTCCATTCAGACCATTACCTTTCAAATTATTATGACAAACAAGCATACTTGTCTATCTGGGCTATAACCACTATTCTAGCCACTACACAACTCTACCCTCCCAGAGCCAGGAACAGAATTTAGCTGTATAACCTACTGTCTACATATGTATTATTTCCACAACAAAAATAATATACTCGTTGTAGATTGCAGAATAGAGGGTGCTCCTGGAGATCTGAGAATCTAGGATTTATACCATATTGATGGCCTATTTATTATTCTAATTTTCCTTTTTAATGAATTTATTTCCTTAAAAACATACTTAAAACCAGATTTTACAGTTAAAGACCATTAAAATCACAATAAAGGCACACAAATTATAATCAAGCACAGGTGATTTGTGTATCTGTCACCTGTCAAACAATTTGACTGCTGGTGTCAGATTCTGGAAAATTTGAAAGCTGAGAGGCATGACTACAATAAATATACAGGTGGGGAGACAGTAAAGAATTATACACATAAATTCTTGTGCACAAAACCTCTCTCTTCCATGTGGGCTAGTCTGGTGACTCAAGTTATAAAGATTGATGGTTGATCCCTTGAACTTTTAACAGATGGAAAAAGGGGAAACTTGGAGGTTAACATTTTTTTCTGGAACAGCAGTGTACATAATACAACATACTCATGTCTTCCCATAACAGCAGCTAACTACAAAGTAGAGGAGGCAATTTTAGTCGTTTTACTACAGAGTTAATATACTGAAGAAGCACAACAACAGAATGCAAATCTTTTCAGTAGGGTATCAGACAGCCTTGTAAATATTACGCATCATAACCAGTTTGTATGGATTCAAATCCCTAAAGTTCAAAAAATTTTCCAATGGTTAATTCTTATAAATCTAAAAGCAAAATCAATGTTGATACTTTTGTCATATTTGCAGTTTTCGCCATCTCACAAGAACTGGAAATAGAAGCAGGCTCCTGATACAAAATGTAAATGACTCTGAGATCAGTATTATTATAGAAAACTTTTCTATAATTATTCTGTGAACCAAAATAAGTGGAGGATCACAGAAGGTAACAATTTACAAAGCCACTGCCTGCTAGAGTCAGAGACACACAGGAGCTAGCAGAAGTACTTCCCTCCCCTCTACTATTCCCTACTATTTGATTTTCCAGCTCAACCTCTCCCCTTGTGAAGCCAAATAAAAATGGCTTATATTGATCCGCCTGACCACACTGGTTTTACTTAGCCAAAGACACAGAAAATATGTGTTGTTATTGCTCTATCTGATCTATCCCAACAACCTTGTTTGATCTCAAAATGCACTATGAACAATATCCTTAACAGTTCACATATGCCAACAGAGTTAACAAAGAAAACAAACAAAAACCTGTAATATGCTCTCTTAGAAGTTCTAATAAACCACTGCTGACTTTCAAATGCAGGTCAAAATTAATCTAGGCTAATTTATCGTACAAATATCACTGAAGTAATGCGAAGCAGGGGAAATTTGAATTTAATTATTAGGAAAATTGGCAGCTAAGATGGGGAGAGTAAGCGGGGAAAAAACCCACGATTGGGCTATCTGAATTGGTATATTGCAAGTCAGGAAGTGACTTGGTTGGGAAACAGGGAAAAAAAGAGCCCAAGGTAAAATTCATTTGTTGCCTTCAATGTGTCACAGAAAAAAGAGAGAAAAAGAGGAAAAAAGAAAGTGGCAAATAAAATCACTTTAACAAAAAGAAAGGCAGCAGTTTTAAAAATTATTTACTGCACGTTGAAGGAAGAACAAGAGATCCATTTTGCAAGTGACCATTTGGAAGCTAAAAAACACCCTCTTCCCCACAGGCATTTTTTCTGCATTGCCCAAACAAAACAAAACAAATAGTCTCCACCACAGAATCCACTTTGCCTTACTGCAACTGCACAGATCAATCATCTAAAATTCTATGGCAATGTCTACACTAAGAGCTATCTAAAAATGTTAGTGTAATTTGGAAACTTTTAAACTAAGAGCAGCTGAGACATAAGCCCTGAAAAAAACCACAGCCATCTAAAAAAGCCACAGTTGGAGATATTTTTGTACCAAGTTCAAACTTTTTTCTTTTTCTTTCTTCTTCTTCTTCTTTGTGTGTGTATGTGCGCTAGTGCGGACACACGCAGAGGTCAACTATTGATGTGATGTGGATCAAAATTGTCTCAGTCTATCCAATTACACCCAAGATAGTGCACCACTAAATCTTTGGGACCCCCAAACTGATAATAATATTTAAGAAAGGTACATTTTCTTATACTGTGTGCATGCACCACTATGGTTGGAGGGTTCCATACTTGCCACTTTATCTAATATATAAAGGAGAATGTTTGTATGTTTGTGCTCTAATAACTTGGACACAATAAGAGCTACTGCAACCAAACTTTGCATGGGATAACCTTTCCTCCAGGAGAAGGTTTTAAGGTACTGTGGGAGGGTGTGGCAGGCGCCCCACACCCTCCTCCCCCGCACTAGCTCTGCCGGCAGCAATGCAGTCCCAGGCCGCTGCTTTTCTGGGCCTGCGGTGCTTGCACAGAGGCGGCGTGCAGAGGACCGTCCTCACGGTGCAGGCGCGCCTCAGCCGGAGTGCAAACCAGCAGGCAGGTGGACCCGGGGAGAGCAGGGGCACTGGCAGGGAT